TTCAATAATTTTGAATTTCATGCTAACACCACATGGATTCCTTGAGGGTTTATAGCATTGCGTTTATTCAAAGCCACGCAAAACTTTAGCGCTTTAAGCCCTTTCTTTGTGGGTGTTCTCTGTGATTGCGCGGTGCTGTCCATTGGGCTCTGAGGATTAGATTGGTTTGGTAATTGTTTGTTCTCTGGTCGCATCTTCAAGGATGCGCTCAATGCAACAACGCCAGTTACTCAGCGCTGTGCAGGCAGATGGCAATAAATCAAAGAAGGATAAAGCACATCAGTGTTTATTAGTGAGCGCCATCCACTCACATACAGAGTCGTAGAGGGGCTTTGAATGCGTTTGACTTGCAAAATCACTTGCACGGACCAGCCCATGTACAAACCCGTCTTTTTGTCTTTCCGGACGAGGGTTTTTACTAACTGGACAACCAGGAGAATATAGATCAATTTCTGGATGAAACCTGATAGGGGATTTAACCCAGTCCCGTGTACGTGCTAGGCGACGTTACTTGCTACACTACCCACGCCTAAACGATAAACTCGAAAGTCGACGAAAGGGAATTTTGCCTACTTGAACTTACTTACTTGAGAGACAGGCGGACCCTTTAAGGGTACCGACCGACGCACAATTTGCAGCGTAGGACATGCCCGGCGATCTAGCATGGCCTTTACCGGCGCTGTCTTCACACTGTACACCCACCGACTGGCTAACCACTCTCCGCACGTCTGTATTTGATACAGAAAGCGTTACCGTTGAAGAGGGCAGTACCGACGGATTCGCATCAGTGGGGAAATCAATGGGCAAGAAGGGCTTCCACTTCTCTAAATCTTAGCCGTTGCTCATGGTTAAGAGCATGGTTAGCAAGAGACAAAAGCCATTGCGTGCCACTCATTGACCCCCCCCCCCCAGTGGCGGGTGGTAAGCAGCATTAGCGCCGATGTCAATGCTTCTGAATGGTAGTGAATTCGCCGGCATTCTTTCAACCTATGCTTCGCTCTCTATCGTTATTTTCGGGAGTAGGAGTAATGATGCAGCGGTGTTGAATGATTACGTTGAAATTTTTCTTCAAGTTTCTTGGAACTGAGCGTTCATGAATCAGCTCTATGGGTGCGCGAAATTTTAATCCCCTGTGGCGAATCATCTGCTAAAAGGACCTTCTGCGACATAGGTGGTAAGCAAATACGTTGAGTATATCACATAGGCGTGAACACAGGCACCTTTACTTTATGCCACACAAAAACGCTGTTTGCAGGTTCGAATTTTGAGCCACGCAGCGTTGCTTCCATGGTCTTGTTTTGTCTTCGATACTAGGAGATTGATTTTTACATCATTTCTTCGATTTTTGTGCTATGACATTCATCCCTACCCTACTTCTTTGGTTTCAGCTTCAGAACTAAGACTCAAGGGGTGAGGGTCCAAGAAGCGTAAGCTGTCCTTTCCCAGAATTTTTCCCAGATTCTTCTCCCTCACACGCAGGGTCAACCCTTCCGTTGTTACTTTTTAAGAAATTTTTACGACCCCCCTCCCCCAAGGTGGATTTGAATACGACCCCCTTTTCCACACCTCGACCACTATCATCGTCTCTACAGTATTTAATTCTGATATCACTCAACCCACCGGACTCCGCCCCACTTTTCCCTCCAAAAATGCCGTCG